TGGGAATGGAGTGCGTTGGGAATGCGCAGGGAAGGCTCTGGCAGTGGGTGGGCAGGAGCACGGCTGGAGTGCCACAAAGGGCTGAGCTGTTTCAGCCTTTCAGCGTCTGCTGCTGTTGTGGTTTTGGGGTTTGTAACGTGCTGGATGCTCTGGTTGCCATTGGCGAAGCGGTGTTAACGAGCGAGGCTTGCTCAGGGTGCGGAATTTTGTGCATTTGCTGCATTGGGAGCAATGTTTGAGTGACCTTTTGCATAACACATAAAGGGTCACGGACACCAACCTTTGGTTTTTCACTGACACATCAGCCTTAACTTCTCCAACCCTTGCAACATATTTGAGCTTTAGTTTCTATTAGTGAAGAGCCGACTCTCTAAAGTTCTTCATGGATATTTTTCCACCATAATTGCTAATAGGAGTGTGTGGTCAAGGGTTGGAGAAGGTGCAAGGAGTGCGAGAGGCGCTCACGCTGCTGCCGGTTCTTTTGAGCTGGAAAATTGAGTCTTTGTGAGTAATCCAAGAGAAACAACTGCCAACCACTGCCATGTTTTCATCTGTTGGTAAACATCAGCTGCTGGTTGGCCTTGAGGGAGGAAGACTGAATTAGTTCCAGATGGAGAACTCTTTCAGGCCATTTAGACTTTCCAGTTGATTAAAGCCAGCAGGTCAGTAATTTAGGGGAGTAATTTTGTTGTTATTTGCTGTTCTGCTTCCCGGCGTGTGTGGAATCGGTGATATCAAATCTGATATCACAGCGCTGCTGAGGGTGGGGCTTTGGTTGTGCTTAGTTGGCCTTGGTTTTAATTAAGTTGTATAAACAGAAAAGCTGTGAGAATTAACTATTTTGAATGTAGCGGGGTATTTTTTAATGACCTGGAAAAGGAGGAGGAGTCAAAATTCCATTTTTCTGAACAAATTCTCTTGGAGAACATGTACCTTTCTTCAAAGTTTTGTGTTAAACTGGGTTACCACAAGTTTGTGGTTTAATGTGATGGTGTCAGAGGGTCCCATACCTCAGTGTGCTGCTGGCATGAATTCCTGGAAAAATGGGAAGAGATAAGGGATGGAAATCTTCAGTGCATGGCTGTAGTAACTGGAGAATGTGAGGAATGGAAAATTTCACTGGGAAACAGCTGCTGTGGAGGATACTGAGACTGACACCAGTTATTTAACTCCTCAGTACCTCTTTGTGATTTATTTGAGATGCCACGTTGGACATTTAAAAAGCATTAAGAATAAAGTCTTAAAGAAAATAGAGTGAACTGCTCAAAAGATCAGGGCAGGTGCAGTAGCTCTTGTTAGAACTCTTGTGTTTCTCTTTCTTTCACAGGGTGGTTTTCTTGTTTTCTCTGCTCTGCCACTGTAACTGGCTACATTTTGTGTAATTTGTAAATTTTTTTTTCTTTTAAAAAAGCTCTGGTTGAGAGCCATTTAATGCCTTTTGCTGCCAAGTCTGCTAAAAAGGCATTAAGAATTAGTTGCAAGTGCTGATATTGAATTGCAAGGTATAGCAAAATGAGGAAGGTTTATTATTCCCATGTAACTAAATATATAACCATTCTGGAAAACTCTTGGACATATTTCCCTACTTTTTTCACCTGGGTACATTTACTAGGGTAGCTCTGGGATTACTGGGAGTTACAGCCTTGATTATTGTTCTCTTTGATTTAGGTTGATTACAGGTTAATTAGTATAAAGGGCAGAGATTCCTGCTTGGATTTGCTGGGTTGGGAAGATTTTTCTGGGGAGTGTTTAAAGGCAGACTGAGATCAAAGACACGGTAGAATCTGTAAGAGGAGTTAGTTATAATTGGAAAGGCTGTGTTGAGGTGCTCCTGAGGGAAAAGGACATAAAAACACAAAGTCTGGTGGGTGGGTGGGTGTTATTTTAGAATTAAAAAACCTCCCCGAGATGAGTTCTTGTTGCTTAATCTTGGCATGAATACGTCAGGAGTTCAAAATCCAGCCTGAAGGATTACAGAACTCTCTGTATCTTTCATAAAGTGCAGGTGAAATGTGCTCTTTGCTGCACTTGGAATATAAAATGTCACACATGTTTTTTTTTTCCTTCTTTCCCTTTTTCCCCTCCTCTTAGGCAGAAAACATGGAGCAGCCCACATGAAGAAGCATGAGGAGTTTATATTCCTGCAAGATGTTCCTTGGAGGACCAAGCCCACTTTTCCAGGCGCCTGGGAGATGAAGCATTGACCACATGACATTTTCATTTCAACAAGTGCTGTGTCAGTGTTGCTTTGTGTGAAGGACAAATATTTATTTCTTCACCTCACCATGTCGGCCGTGACCCCAGAGGCCCCGAGCCCTCCTCAGCTGGAGGAGAAGCCAAAGGGAAAATCCCTGTTCCAGCTGGGCTCCCTCTTGGCTAACAGGAGTGAGAAATTAGTGATTGCTCGCAGTGACAGCTTGCCAGAGGAGAATGTCCTGAAAATCACCATCACAGAGACCACGGTCATCGAGTCCGACCTGGGCATCTGGAATTCCCACGCCCTCATCTACCTCACTTTGTGGTTTTTCTTCAGCTTTTGCACTCTGTTCCTTAACAAATACATTCTGTCCTTGCTGGAGGGAGAGCCCAGCATGCTTGGTACCCTGCTTTTCCTCAATTCCAGGGGGAAATGGATTTATTTTTTTGGAATGGGAGCCCCAAAAGCTGTCAGAACTCCCAGAACTTTGGGATAACGCTGCCAGGCACAGGGTGGGGTGGTTGGGGTGTCTGAGGGATAAGAGTTGGGCTGGATGATCCCTTCCAGCTCAGGATATTCCATGATCCTATGGCTGATATTCCCAGATTGTCCCATGTAAAGCTGGGGGAGAGAATAGTTCAATTGGAGTGAAAAATGCTTGGCTTGGAAGCTGTGGAGAGGGATCTTGGGATTTTGGCCAGAAAAGTGGTTTCTGACACTGCCCTTTCCTCCAGTTGCTGAAAGATGAAATTTTCCTCGTAGAAGAGCTTTAAGAGAAAAAAAACAAACTTTTTTTTAGTTTTCTGTGCTGGAGGATTTAACAAAAATTCAAATTTTGAGTAAGTTGTTGATGCTCTCCAGAGCTGTGCAGTGCAAGAGTTGCCTTTGGTGATCTCTGTTATCTGATGGCCATTTGAGTTCTTTTTTTGTCTTCTTAAGGGGCAAACAAAGAACAATTTATCTGTGAACCAGGTTTATAAACATTCGGCTTATTGTGCTGCCTTGCTTAGATGTAGAAGCAAAGGGCTTTTGTGAGATTATATAAAACACAGATTTTATATTTATAAAATACACTTTTTCTATTGTATAAAACACCAAAAAAAACCCACCGCACAGATGTTTGTGCCAGAGATTTTGTCAGGAAAATGGGTTTGTTGTGTGACCTGACAGCCAATTTTGTGATCTGGCTTCATTTCCCCTCTGTGCTCCTCCTTTAGGTGCTGTTCAGATGCTTTCCACCACCTTCATTGGCTGCATCAAGATGTTTGTGCCGTGCTGTTTGTACCAGCACAAAACCCGCATCTCCTACCCCCCCAACTTCATCATGATCATGCTCTTTGTTGGATTAATGAGGTACAGGGGAAGCATTTCTGCATTATCTCTGCTAATATTTGTTGATAAAAAAATTTTATAGGATGATGATGTTTATGTTCCCACCCAGAATCTCGCTAAAAAAAAAAAAAAAACAGCAGTACCAACAACACACCAACAAAAAACCAACCAAAAAAACCCAAAAAACCAAAAAACAAACAAACAAACAAACAAAACCCACAAAACAAATAAAAACTCCCAAAAAACACAACAAAAAAGTACCAAATCATAAAAACTAAAAGTCTAAACAAAAATCCCAACCATCCAAAAATTTTAAAACTTTTAACCCTTCCTTAAAAAATAAAAGCTTTAATGTTACTCCTCCTCAGTCTAAAAGAAAAAAAAACCCCAAAAACCTAAGATGTTAAAAAGAAAAATTCTAAGTAAAAAGAAATAATAGAGTAATTTTTAACTAAACTTTTATTAACCATAGACTAAACCAATTTCTCCTCCAAAGAAAAACTACATTTTAAAAAAATGCATAATGAACCAAAAAACCTGCTTCAATAGCTACCAACATATAAAATAAACAAAAAAAAATTAAAGGAAGTGTATTAATACCCTCTATCTCAAAAAAAAAAAAAAAATCTATCCTTAAAACCCTCAACCCTGAAGTTCTGTTCTCATGTCTCTCTGCCTTTTTATTCTTGATGTGGTGTTTGGAGTATTTCTCTTTCTCCACCCCTCCAAAAATATCCCAGGATAATCTTATTTTTATTTGCTGTTTCTATTCCCAGATGTTTAATATTTTGGCCTTCCCATCACATTTACATTTTCTCAGAGCTCATTTCTCTTTCCATTTATTTTCTTCCTGCTCTCTTTTGAGGCTGATGTTTGTTTAGTGCATTAATATTTATCAGCCTTTTGCCTCAAAATTCATCGAGGCTATTAAAATTTATCTTTTGAAAGGTAAATATTTGCTGGGTGCTGGGGTTGTATTAGTTTTGTGGTCAAGGAGGGAATAAAAATGCCTGGTTTTGTTTCCTCTACCCTGCAAAACTGATAAAGAAAATCAAATAAGTGATAAATTCAATTAATTTCAGAGTTTAAACTGTGGTAATTATGTAGCATATCTAATTTGCACTAAATATGGATAACTGCAGATAAAGTTTCCTTGGTGAATTTCTGATTCTCAGAAGATTTTTCACTTTTCTGACTGAGCCTGTTGAAAACTTTGGCTTAAAAAATGGTCACTTGAAGCTTGGAGTGTGTTAAAAAGTAAATTTGTTTTCTAGGAATCCACTCTGCAGCCAAAGGCATTCCTCAGTTGCCCAAGGGTGCCTTTATTTGCTTTAAATAAATAATGTTTAAGCCATAGCTGAAAGAAAGATCTGACCTTGCAGGTGCAGCAGAAACCACAGCGCAATTCTTTTTATGCTGAGTGTCCAAGAGTAGCTCTTGAAGGATTATTTTAATTTCTTCTGGTGCACTAATTTTTTTTTTTTAATTAATTTCTTGTGATTTTCTTCTGCTGCAGATTTGCAACAGTGGTCCTGGGCCTGGTCAGCCTGAAGAATGTGGCAGTTTCATTTGCAGAAACTGTGAAAAGCTCTGCTCCTATTTTCACTGTCATCATGTCCCGGATGATTTTGGGGGAATACACCGGTGAGTCCTGAAATGAGATTTAATTCCTCTTTTTTTTAATTGGCTGTGATGAAAGTATGGCCTCTAAAATATAATAAATGCAGCTGGAAGAATCAGTCTGAACACAGCCTGACTGACATCAGTCTGAGTTTGTAGAATTAAAAGGGGTTGGTGGAAGGGGATTGTTGTTATTTTTCTGTTTTTATTGCGGCTTTAAAAATCTGAATTTCGGTGCAGTCCTTTTCTCTTGCTGTTCGGAATTACAAATTGTCCCAAATTAAATTTCAAATTTAATTTAAAAAAAATTTAAAAAATAAGCGAGATCATTTTGCTCTGCAGGATTGCTGGTGAATCTCTCCCTGATCCCTGTGATGGGAGGGTTGGCTCTGTGCACGGCCACTGAAATCAGCTTCAACATCCTGGGCTTCTCTGCAGCTCTGTCCACCAACATCATGGACTGGTGAGCACCGGGTGTTTTATCCCTTCTAGCTCCATTTTACAGGCTCTGACACACAAAACTTCACCCCTCTGACAGCTCAGCACCTCAGGTGCCAAAAAGTACAGGATGGCTCCCGTGGCAGTGCTGGGAACAAAAAAAGTTGTAATAAAAAGCAAAATAAAAAAGCTCTTTACAGAGGAAAACCAAGCCAGGGCAAGAGGTTCTTGCTCCTGCTAAAACACTTCACAAAAGTGATTTTTTTCTTTTGTTCTCTTCTTTTTCTGGTGAAATGCTTAGGTGAGATTTTTTAGTTTTATTTGTTTGGTTCTCTTCTTTTCTAGTGAATTGCTCAGGACTTTTTAGTTCCTGTCCAACTGGGTGTCCTTAAATTTGAGGTGAAGTCCCCAAGGTCCTGTGAGGTGTTTTTTAACCAAATTGAGTAGAGAAATTTCTGGAGTTTTGTCCTTTTTAAGGAGACAAAGGGTAACTTGTTTACTCCATTAACAGTGGACACATTCCTATACCAGGGCAGCTCTGGGAAAAAGCAATTAATTTTATTTTATACCTTTTACTTTGTACCTCATATTTTATACCTTTTACTTTGTACCTCATATTTTATACCTTTTACTTTGTATCTCATATTTTATACCTCACATTTTATACCTTTTACTTTGTACCTCACATTTTATACCTCACACTTTATACCTCACATTTTATACCTCATACTTTATACCTCATATTTATTTTTATAAAGAAAATCACTTAACATTGTTCATTCTGTACAGTGCGTAGGAATGTTGGTATTGAAAATGCATTTTTAAGAAATTATTTTCTTCCTCTCTCATATCAAACAGCATTATTGAGATTAAATAATAAAACTTCATTAGACCAAACTCCTTTCTGTGCTTGTAGAAAACTTTTATCTACCTGAGGATCAATTAATTGATTGATTTGTCCTAATTATAATACAGCTAAATGGTGGGCTTTAATTAAAGTGTATGTTTAGTGAAAAAAATTTAATTTTTAAAAAGAAATTACATTATTTTAAAAAATTAATTTAAAAAAAATTAACAATTTTTGTTAATTTTTTAAATTTAAAAACACATTTTAACAAATTAAATTTTAAAAGTTAGGGTTTTTTTGTTAATTAAACTTTTCTTTTTCTTCTCTAGCTTGCAAAACGTCTTTTCCAAAAAACTACTCAGTGGAGATAAATACAGATTTTCGTAAGTACTCAAAATATTTCAGGTTTGCTTATATTAGGGCTCCATAAAGAAATTAAATATTTATCATTATATTGCACAAAGGTGTAAATCTGATCACCTCTATCATTTTATCAGGGTAAGAAAACTCCCCTGAGCTCCCAATCAGTTACAATTCCCAGAAATAAATATTTTAAAAGAGAAATATCAACAAAATATAAATATTTATAAAAATCTATACATATTAATAAAATATTTATTTAATACTTATTAAATAAATATTATTTAATAGAAATATTTTATTAATATATAACTATTTTATATAGATATATTGCATTAAATTATAATGTTTTATAAATATAAATATTGAAAAATAGAAATAAAACCCCTAAAAATAATATTTTCACAGCAGTGGTGTGCAGAAAGCAACTTTTTATCTCTGAAACGTAAAGCAAGAGTAAAGTTTTGTGCTAAAATGTACCTTTGATAAAATATTTGTATTTTACCATGAGATAAAAAGCTACTTTTGGTTTTTTGTGCCTTTCAGCTTCAGTCCCTGAGAGCAAACCTCTCTCTTTGCTTTGAAAAATGAAATTTTGAATAATTTTAATTTTTTTTTTCTCCTTTGTAGAGCTCCAGAGCTTCAGTTCTACACAAGTGCTGCTGCTGTGGTTATGCTTATTCCAGCTTGGATATTTTTCATGGTAATTTGAATTCATTATTTTAATGAATTTAGAGATTTTAAAAATTAATTTAGTTGGGTTTTTTTTAATTGTGAGCAGAATGTGCAACAAAGGATAATCTCAAAATTTACCTTTTATCCTTCCCATTCATTTTATTTGAAAAATTAATTTTTGATTTTTAAAAAAATCAGCCTGAAATACAATTCACCCAATGTTTGCAAGAGATTGGGGCAGTAAAAAAGAGAAAATTTAAAAAGAAATTCATTTAATAGAGATGTGAGTTAATCCAAAAAGCCTGAATTTATCTCAGGATTTTTGAGTTCAAATCATGATTTTGCCTCGGTGCATTTGAGCATTGAGATAAAGACTTGAAACAAAATCTGGAATATTTGTTGGCTTTTTGTTGCTGTTCATGTGGTGTACAGGAATATTAACTCTGAAAGCAAATATGTGTTGAGAAAAAATTATTGGATCTAAATGTTTTATATGTTTTAGGTTTTGTTGGGCTAAAATTTAAATGTAAAACTTTGTTTCTGATGGGTGTAAAATCACTTAAATTTTTCTCATTAACTAAACCCTTAAATTAAATTAATTTTTTTTTTATTTTAGGATGTGTAAATTTTTTTGGAGAAAAACTTACAGGATCTAAATGTCTTGTATGTTTTAGGTTTTGTTTTTAGGGCTAAAATTTAAATTTTAAAATTTAAAATTTAAAATTTTAAAATTAAAATTTAAATATTAAACAGTTGAGTGAAAAATCACTTCTAGGTTTTTCTCATGAACTAAACCCTTAAATTCCAATTTTTTTTTTTTTATTTTTTTTTTTTTTTTTGGGAATTCAGGACGTGCCTGTGATTGGGAAAAGTGGGAGGAGCTTCAGCTACAACCAGGATATTGTGATTCTCCTCCTGATCGATGGAGTCCTGTTCCACCTGCAGAGTGTCACAGCCTATGCCCTGATGGGGAAAATCTCCCCTGTGACTTTCAGGTAAAACTGTCAGGAGCATTAATTTCTATTTCTTCATCAGGA